ATTGCAAGATTGTCTAACTTGAATTCCATATCCTTATTGCTCTTACTGTAAAAAAACCTTTTCTTTGCCTTAGATGAAATCTCCTTTCTTCCAGCCTAAATGTGTGACCTCGTGTCCTATGTATAGCCCTGATTATGAATAGATTTCCAGATAAAGGTTTGTACTGGCCCCGAATATATTTGTATAAAGTTATCATATCCCCTCTCTGGCACCGTTTTTCCAAACTAAACAGATTTAATTTTTTTAACCTTTCTTTATAACTAAAATGCTCCTTTCCTTTTATCAATTTTGTAGCTCGTCTCTGGACATTTTCTAGTGCCATGATATCTTTCTTTAGAACAGGTGCCAAAAATTGCACAGCATATTCAAGGTGTGGTCTTACCAGCAATTTATAAAGAGGCAAAATTATATTTTCATCCCGAGAATTTATGCCCCTATTTATACATGACAAAACCTTACTGGCCTTAGCAACTGCAGATTGACATTGCATATTGCTGCCTAATTTGTTGTCTATAACAATTCCCAAATCCTTCTAGTGTGTGGTTATCTCTAATTCACTACCATTTAGTGTGTAAGTTTCTTGTCCATTCTTAACCCCAAAGTGCATAACTTTGCATTTCTCTACGTTAAATTTCATCTGCCATTTTAGTGCCCAGTCCCCCAATCTATCCAAATCCCTCTGCAGCAAAGCAATATCCTGCTCACATTTTATTACTTTACAAAGTTTTGTGTCATCTGCAAACACTGATACATGGCTTTCAATGCCTATTTCAAGATCATTTATAAATATGTTAAATACAAGTGGTCCCAAAACAGAACCCTGAGGGACACCACTTACCACTTTTGTCCAGCCTGAAAATTTACCATTAATGACAACTCGTTGTACTCTATCCTTAAGCCAGTGTTCTACCCAAGAACAAGAATTTTCATCTAGACCAATTTCTTTTAGTTTGAGCACCAACTTATTGTGTGGAACTGTATCAAATGCCTTGGCAAAATCCAAGTAGATCACATCCACTGCAACACCCTGATCTATACGTCTACTTACCTCTTTGTAGAATGCAATTAGGTTCATAAAACCATGCTGAGTATTGCTAATAACAAAGTTCTTCCCAATTAATTCCTGAATATTATCCCTTAACAGCCCTTCAAATATTTTCCCAGTTACAGAAGTTAAGCTCACAGGTCTATAATTTCCAGGCAAGGATTTTGAACCCTTTTTAAATATAGGAACAACATCTGCCTTCCTCCAATCCTCCGGTACAACACCTGAAACAAAAGAATCTTGAAAAATTAAATACAGAGGTTCACTTATTTCCCCACTTAGCTCCTTAAATACTCGTGGGTGAATACCGTGAGGCCCCGGACCTTTATTTACATTAATTTTCTTTAATAGCTGTAGCACCTTGTCTCGAGTTATCCAATCACAAGTTCTTTGCAAGTTTTTTGCAGAAATCATTTGCATATCTTTTGCCATAAGATCCTTATTAATATATACTGAAGAAAATAGCTATTTAAAATTTCTGCTTTTTCCTGTTCTTCATTAGCTAATAAACCCAACTCTGTTTCCAGTGTACCTATACTTTCATTTTTTGTTTTTTTTAGAATTAATGTACTTGAAAAAAATGTTGGGGTTGGTTTTGCATTCTTTAGCTATCAATTTCTCATTTTCTAGTTTAGCCACTTTAATTGCCTTTTTGCAAGCGTTATTGGCTTCCTTATATCTTAAATAGGATGCCTATGATTTGTCTGATTTAAATGCTTTAAATGCCCTTTTCTTATTTTTAATCTCTTGTTTTACTTCTGTACTAAGCCACATTGGTTTTAATCTGTTTCTTTTATATTTATTACCCAATGGTACATACTGAGAAATGTACCTTTCTAATATTTGTTTGAATAGTTTCCATTTATCCTCAGTGTTATGTGAGGAATTGCTATAATTTCTGTCTCTTGAACAACATGATATTAGAGACACTGGAGGTGGCCAAGCACCATGGGAAATGTAGTTTTTAAATATTTGCCATAGACAGGCCATCAGTCACTAAACGATAGATAACTCTGGTGAGAGTCAATATTGCTTTATCATTTATATGACATTGCATTGGATGTAAAAAAATATCCCCTCTCGCACATTTTATTTGTTTACCTTCAGCTGGACAACTCAACGTTCTCATCACTTATATAGATTAATCTTAAAGGGCTACTCTAAGTATTATTACAAATTTACATCAAGGTTATGATGTTCAGTGTACCTTCATATTTACACTATAAGGTAAAAAATATTGAGACACCTGGCCATTACATCAACAGGGGCTTTTATGACATTGCATTCTAAATACATAGATAATTAATATGCTTGTACAGCAAGCATGTCAAACTCAAAGTTTAGAATGGGCCAAATAAACAAGGTTAAAGTTTATGGCTGCCGCAAAAAAAACATTACTTGCAACATTTTCATAGAAACGTAGGTTTATTTTGAAAAGTACAGTATAAAAAAAACAGCATCCCTCTCTACTAAACAACAGCACCCCCCTCTACTAAATCCCAGTCCCTCCAATATATTAAATCCCAGTACTTCCCCGATACTAAATCCCAGTCCCCCCTCTACTAAATCCCAGCACCCCCCTCTAGCCAACAAGCAGACTCCACTCACATTGCCGCTGCCAGTATGCGACTCCGGAGTCCGGCCTATGGTATACCCCAAATGGCGCCGACCACACTCTGTGCCAAAGCGGATCCTCCCGCTACTTCTTGAAACCCTCTGAAGGAGAAGCACGTCAATGCCACGTTGGAATGTGATGTGGCGTTGCGTGTCTCCGTGCACCTCCAGGTACTCCACTGTCCAGCAGCGGCTAATCGCAAAACTGACCGACACACAAACACTCACTGACACCCACACACTCACTGACAGACACACACACACACACTGACAGACACACACACACTCACTGACAGACACACAGAAATACACACACTTACTGACGGACTCACAGAGAGACACACTCACTGACAGACACACACACACTCACTCACTGACACACACAGACAGATACACACACACATACTCACTGACAGACACACTCACTGACACACATAGACAAACACACTCACTTACTGACAGACACACTCACTGACAGACACACACTCACTCACTGACAGACACACACACACACTGATAGACACACACACTGACAGACACACACACACTCACTGACAGACATACACTCACTCACTGACAGACACACACACTCACTGACAGACACACACACAGATACTGACAGACAGACACATTTACATGTTCTTGCACACACTCACATCATTTTATTTATTGATCCCTACCTTTGGGAGCTGGTGTCGGGTCTCTCCCTGGGGTCCAGTGGGGATCTTCTATCTGGAGATCTGCTTCTTGCTCCTCACTGCTCTCTTAGTGCCGGAATATGACATCATACAGACGGCGCGCGCAAGGAAACAGTGAGGAGCAGGAAGACTGAGCTCCTCTAGGGAGCTCTCAGAGTCCATCCAAATTTTAGCACAGTAGGCACCTGCAATGGGGAGAAAGCAGGTGCCAACTCTGCTTTAACACTAAGAATGCTCGCGGCTCGCCGAGCTGCAAAGATGTTAATTGCCGCAATTTTGACATGCTTGTTGTACAGGAAGGGAGGGGTAGTGTTTTACAGTATTTCTCCATAATGTATGTAACAGTGATCAGAAAATTTAGAAATATTTAGTGCAGTATTTCCAGTAAAATGGAAGGATACGTAAGGAATACACATACAGATTTGGTGAGTTCTTGAAAGCTCCACATGTATTAGTGGGAGCGGTAAAATCCCCGCCTCTTGATTTTTGTGGGTTCCCTTGGTCTCCCTTGGAGTTTGTATAAAACATATAAAACATACAGATAAACAAACCAATGTAACATAGTTTTAAATTTGTTATACAAACTCCTGGAATGCTGACTGAAACGAAGGGAACCCACAAGAATCCAGAATATCTAGTAGGGATGAAATTTCATGAACTGACTTATTACAAAGGTATCACAGTAAGTATCACAGTACCACACTTGAATTCACTATGCTCTTCAAAACAAACCACTTTTTTTTGTGTTTGTAAATGCAGAATGCTTAGCTAGGTGCTTGATTTTAAACACCTGCGGCAATGGGTCTGATTGAAATGCCTGAAGTCAATAATTAAGAGATGTGTCCCAATATTTTCCGTATAGTGTATCTCCCATTCCCCTTTCTTGTAGTGGCTTATAAGTACAATAAATAGCAAACATTGTTGCAATTAATAGGCTGCTCCTTGGAACAGTGATGTCATAGGATGAATTTTAACTCATCTTTGCATATCAAGATCTATGCTTGAGGGCTTATATGGACATCGCTACCCTCTTCTCTCCAGCCTTGATGGAGGAAATATTGCTGCATACAGTCAGGTGTATAAAACTGTGAACTGGAATGAATGTAAACCAATAGCAGTTAAACATATTGCATATAATTGAAACCCTTCAAGGGTTTATAGGACAAAATCAGATGGCAAGGGCCAAATTTAGAGGATCCTGGTGCAGCAAATTCCTGGTCTAGGAAGAGTTCAGGGTCACCATCATGATTGTCATGGGCCAGGGATGCCTTGGCGGGCCAGGATGCCTTGGGGAGACAAAGTCTCCCTCTGATATTGTACTACATTGATATACTTTCTGCCTGTATAGTGAAGAGGAGACTCATCAAACACCATCTTTAGCTTCCAGAAACTCGAGAAACCACAGTCTGGCACCAACAGGGAATTGGCTGACCCTACAGATATGCAGAGGACTCTCCCACCCCTGGCATGTAATCCCAAGGGCACAGACTCAAACGTTTTTACAAGCGCATACTATTATTTTTATTTTTAATTTTTACTTTATATTCGTACCTTTTATAACTCTTGCTGATATGTCTAACACAGTAAGAGAACAGAAATGCGGATAGCCAGGGCCAGCGTATTGACTTAGCACCCCTCATATACGCCTACAACGAGACACAATCGCCTCACAGCTTAGCGAGTTAAGCATTTAAGCAGATTAGCATTGCCTCATCATTTTATGTACCATTAAGGTCTTATTCCTCTTTCCTTAAAAATGTTTGGTATGCGACCTATGCCTACAATCACACTATGCAACCAGCAGCGCACCAGGGGTTAAACCCACTGCTAGCCTATATCAACCATTCGTAAACCACTCTTGTATAAAAGCCAGACTAAGCCTATATCTTGTAGATTGAATGTTACTCTATGATGCTCAAAAATTAGCTGACTAGATATACCAGCGATTTTACCTTCAGTTATGAATCAGAGTTAGCTGTTAAACTCTGTTGTTTATTACTTAAACTATCTGTACACAAAAAATGTGCTATACCTATCTTGTACCTCAATGTTCAAATGTCTACAATGCGGTGGAGGATTGCCTTTGGGGTACCTCACAACCACCTGTTATAAGCTTATGCACTGCAAAAATAAGTAATTTTAAAAAAAAAATGCACAAGCAATTTACACCCTAAAGGTAGTGAACTAGGGATAACTACACACGAGAAGGATTTGGGAATTGTTAAAGACAACAAATTAGGCAGCAATATGCAATGTCAATCTGCCATTGCTAAGGCCAGTAAGGTTTTGTCATGTATAAATAGGGGCATAAATTCTCGAGATGAAAATATAATTTTGCCTCTTTATAAATCGCTGGTAAGACTGCAGCTGGAATATGCTGTGCAATTTTGGGCACCTGTTCTAAAGAAAGATATCATGGCACTGGAAAAAGTGCAGAGACGAGCTACAAAATTGCTAAAAGGAAAGGAGCATTTTAGTTACAAAGAAAGGTGAAAAAAAATTACATCTGTTTAGTTTAGAAAAAAGGCATCTCAGAGGGGATATGATAACATTATACAAATATATTTTGGGCCAGTACAAACCTTCACCTGGAAATCTATTCATAAACAGGGCTATACATAGGACATGAGGTCACACATTTAGGCTGGAAGAAAGGAGATTTCATCTAAAGCAAAGAAAAGGTTTTTTTACAGTAAGAGCAATAAGGATATGGAATTCTCTGCCTGAAGAGGTGGTTATATCAGAGTCTATACAGATATTTAAACTGCAATTGGACAAATGCTTACAAAACCATAACATACAGGGATATAATTTCTAATTAGTGGGGTAATAGCTGTTTAATCCAAGGATATGTTTGACTGCTATTTTGGGGTCAAGAAGGAATTTTTTCCTAGTTTGTTGCAAAATTGGAAGCGCTTCAGACTAGGTTTTTTTGCCTTCTTTTGGATCAACAGCAAAAACATATGTGAGGAAGGCTGAACTTGATGGACGCAAGTCTCTTTTCAGCTATGTGACTATGTAACTATGACTATGTAACTATCTAAAAGCCAATCATTGTGAGTTGAAACTGCTTTGTTTTGCAAAAGGCAGAGATCTTCTATGAAACATGTATGAAGCTTTTTAAATTTAAAATGAATATAACTCCATTTCTATAAGAGGTTAGTAGTCTGTAGCAGTTTTCTTTCCCCAACTGTGCATATATACTTGGTCGGACATGAAAATGTTATTGATTACATTCCACATAAATGTGGGGTTTTATATTTTTGAGTTGCACAATATGCACAAGCAGCATGTTAGAACATATGCAACCACTGGTGTACAAATATACACATCTTCCGATTATTGACCTGCTCATTAACAGGACTATACAAAACAAAGAGGCCATATATTGAGAATTCAAAAAAATGAGATTTCACCCACATCAGGGAAATGGTTCTTTAAAGTAAGAACAATAAAAATACAGATGTCACTTCCAGGAAGGTTATCTTAGTTAACGTGTAACTATGTATCTGTAAATATCAAAGGAAACACTAGCAGTTTAGAAAAACAACTCATTCTATTTATTAGGGGGAAAATCAACTTGAGCTTAATGAAGCAGTTTTGGGTGTATAGATCATGCCCCTGCAGCCCACTGCTCAATTCTCTGCAATTTATGAGTTAAATCACTGATGCTTCTGTTTATGCAGTCCAGGCCATACCTTCCCTGGCTGTGGCTGAAACAGTTTCATTTTCAATCAGTTGTTTACTTTCTTTATAAGTTTTTTTATCTCCTGCTTTGTAAATTGAACTTCAATCACAGATAGATAAGAAATTCTAAATTAAACAGGAAGTGTTTAGGAAGGTTGTGTAAGTCATATGCAGGGAGGTATATCTAGGGCTGCATAAACAAAGTGATTTAACATCTCAATAGCAGAGGATTTAACAGTGAGACTGCAGGAGCATGATAAATACACTAAAGATGCATATTTAAGCTTAAGTATATTTGGTGCCTGTAATGTCACTTTAAGCATTGTAAAAATTTGGATTTTTAATAATGAATAATGCCAGATAGCTATCCATTAATTTCAGTTTTTTTAATAAAAGAGCAAAGATGGCTAATGCTCACAACAAGTGGTTGGTTTTGTAGAGAGATTGTTTGCCATTTTTGTGCACAGTTTTGGAGGTGATGTGAGCTGTGATATGATACCATGACCCATGTGAAACTTTGCAATGTACAGAATGTGAAAACACCATCAATAATTTCATTTATAAAATATACAGTCTAATTATGCATTTCACCAGCCAAGCAAGGCAGGACATAATTACAATTCTCGCCAAACCATCAAGGAAATTACTAACTGTAATAGGGAAAATAATTTAAATGAAACACAAGAAAACAAAGTCAGTATAAAGACTTTGTTAACCCCTTCCTAATGGTAGTGCGTGCTGTGTCGTCATTCAAAAGGAGATGTCATCTTTCAAAAGGAGGGCTTCAACGCAGTTATGGAGGCATAGCATGCCCGATTGGACCCTCCCTGCAGCCCAAATTTCTTTCCTCTTAGCCGGATCCGATCAGGGGTACTACAGAAACTAAAAGTGATAAAATAAATATAGTCAATATGGAGCACATAAATCTAAAATCAAAGACAATACATTTTGATATGTATTTGTGAAATTCTACACATTGTGAGAACATTTAGATACATCCATTTAAGGATTTCTGAACCTATGAAAAATATGAAAAAGGTTTAGAGATGCATTGTGTCTCACATTTTAAAATATCTCATAGCCAAAATCCAGAAGGCTTATTTTTTTTGCACATTAAAACAATGTGGAGAGGGGGGAGGGGAGGAAAATGTAATTAAAAAATTGGTATGGAAGAAATTAAATTAATTTTTCACTTTAACATGAATTCAATCATGAATTTGAAATATGCTATTTCTTATAATAAATTTAAACAGGTATTAGTTTATAAACTTAACAAGTAACATGCATAATATATGAGAGATAGATTTATAATGCATTACAGATTATCCATAGCCTTTTAGAATTGTATTGTAATTAAAGAATATTTATTTTCTATTTATGATATGTGTATCTAATTTGTAGTAAAAAGATCTTTTAAATGCATGGTGACTACCAGATCGGGGAAGTGGAACGTTCAAAAATGCAAACGGTAACTTAGGACTTTAAAATCGAGGAGGCAAAACGCATAAACAACATGAAATCAGTGGAATGCAATTTGAATTCCAAATACAAATGAAAGGTGGACCAGAAGACACCAGGAGAGCAGTTAGAAGGGGGACATAAACAAGAGGAGGAGAGTAAGGAGTACACCAGCTGAAGAAGTCCGATAAGGAGAAACGCGGTTTAGACAATTTTAAATTTTAAATTTCTCATACCATATTGGTTTTTGTTTACATCTTTTTATTTTTAATAATAGTTACATAGTTAGTTACATAGTTACATAGCTGAAAAGAGACTTGCGTCCATCAAGTTCAGTCTTCCTCACATATGTTTTTGCTGTTTATCCAAAAGAAGGCAAAAAACCTAGTCTGTAGCACTTCCAATTTTGCAACAAACTAAGAAAAAATTCCTTCCTGACCCCAAAATAGCAGTCAAATGTCTCCTTGGATCAAGCACTATTACCTCACTAATTAGAAATTATATCCCTGTATGTTATGTTTTTGCAAGCATTTATCCAATTTCAGTTTAAACATCTGTATGGACTCTGATAAAATCACCACTTCAGGCAGAAAATTCCATATCCTTATTGCTCTTACTGTAAAAAAACCTTTTCTTTGCCTTAGATGAAATCTCCTTTCTTCCAGCCTAAATGTGTGACCTTGTGTCCTATGTATAGCCCTGTTTATGAATAGATTTCCAGATGATGGTTTGTACTAGCCCCGAATATATTTATATAATGTTATCATATCCCCTCTGAGGCGCCGGTTTTCCAAACTAAAGAGATTAAAAATTTTTAACCTTTCTTCGTAACTAAAATGCTCCATTCCTTTTACCAATTTTGTAGCTCGTCTCTGCACTTTTTCTAGTGCCATGACATCCTTCTTTAAAACAGGTGCCCAAAATTGCACAGCATATTCAAGGTGTGGTCTTACCAGCGATTTATAAAGAGGCAAAATTGTATTTTCATCCCGAGAATTTATGCCCTTATTTATACATGACAAAACCTTACTGGCCTTAGCAACTGCAGATTGATATTGCATATTGCTGCCTAATTTGTTGTCTATAACAATTCCCAAATCCTTCTTTTGTGTGGTTATCCCTAATTCACTACCATTTAGGGTGTAAGTTGCTTGTGCATAACTTTGCATTTCTCTACGTTAAATTTCATCTGCCATTTTAGTGTCAGTCCCCCAATCTATCAAAATCCGTCTCCAGCAAAGCAAGATCCTGCTCTCATTTTATTACTTTAGAGAGTTTTGTGTCATCTGCAAACACCGAAACATGGATTTCAATGCCCATTTCAAGATCATTTATAAATATGTTAAAGAAGCGGTCCTAAAACAGAACCCTGAGGGACGCCACTTACCACTTTTGTCCAGCCTGAAAATGTACCATTAATGACAACTCGTTGTACTCTATCCTTAAGCCAATGTTCTATCCAAGAACAAGAATAATCATCTAGACCAATTTCTTTTAGTTTGAAGACTAACCTATTGTGAGGAACCATATCAAATGCCTTGGCAAAATCCAAGTAGATCACATCCACTGCAACACCCTAAACTATATTTCTACTTACTTCTTCGTAGAATGCAATTAGGTGAGTTTGACATGACCTATGTTTCATAAAACCATGCTGATTATTGCCAATAACAAAGTTCTTCCCAATGAATTCCTGAATATTATCCCTTAAT